ATAATAATAAAATGAAATACATAAAATACAAGATAATTCACCAATTATTAAAATAAATAAAGAAATATCAATTTCAAAATATGATAAATAAATGATTTAAAAATAAAAATGATAGAATAACAACAATAAACAAATAATTAAATGAAAATAATCAATATAAATATACAATTTATAAACAAATAATATAAATTTCTATGATAAAATATAAACAATAACAAATATTTGTAATGATAAAATAACAGTTAACTCATTATAAAATCAGTTTAAATAAATAAAATGAAATTAAATGAGCAAATTAATAAAATAAATAAAAATAATATTTAGTATTAAATCATTTTTAAGATAAAAAGAAACATCTCCACAATAAAAATAAGAATGACCTGTTTGAATTGATTATAAATAGATAACATAAATCAAAATAATAAATGTATAGGAAATCAATGACAAATTAACTATTTTTAATCAGTTGATTTTTATTCGTCATGATAATTTTAAATGGTACATCCTGATACACCAGAAATAGAAAATAAAGAAGAATGAATTAAATTTGGTAATTAACAAATTGAATATTTGAAAATCGATGTTATAACATTTTTGTAGTTTCAATAAACTGTTTATTATGGATTTAGGAAAATATTAATGTTGATGAAATTTTATTTTATGTGAAATATTGGTGATTGAAAGGTTAATTTATATATTAAATAATGAGAAATCAAATATGAAATAACGAGTTTTAATTGATTTCATATTTGTTTAAATTTGTTCTGTTTTTATCAATGAATTAAATATTCATTTTGATTTTATAAATAATAAGTTTAATTTAATGTTTATCAAAATGGAGTGAATGAAATTGAAAATAAGTTATTTTCTCATTTGATTTTAATGAGTTTTTGTGAATGAAGAAATAAACAAAGATAAGATCTGAATGGGTTAATAATTTCAAAGAATCATTATTAATTTGATAACATTTATAAACGTTATGTAATGTTATTTCTTTTTGTAAGTTAATTTTCATTTTCTGTATATTTTACATAATGAATAAAAATACAAAATAACATGAACAGTAATGTTATTTTTGTTGTTTTCGATACATAAAGAACTCCAAAAAAATGGTGATGGGGTTTTATCGCAAAATAATCTGATTTATATTTATTTCAGGTTCTAATTATAAAACACCAAACATCATTGGGTATATTTTGGAATGTATTTAAACGATACAAAACCAACTGATAAATTATAAATGACTTATTTGGAAAGAAAGTCAA